GAGAGATCTCTGAAAGGCTCCATGAAATGAATTGGACACTGAAACATATATTAAAATAATATCGCCAACCAAGAACAAAAAGTGTGGTGTTTTCTATTACATATAAAAAAACAACTGTGTGGTAGGGTAGGTGAAAATCTGTTTTGGGGGTTTAACATTTCTATAGCCTAAAAATATAGGGTAGGATGATAGTCGGTAGACTTTTACTTTTTTTCTCTATTTTGCATGCATTATTTAACATGTGAATCATTTCTGCACTACTGACCAACTATCTGATTCTACCTTTTCTTTGAGCATGGTGACTTCTTCCTTGCTGATCTTCCAAGGAAACTTCTCCGTGGTCTCCAGGCTGCTTCCTCATCCAGCATCCAGGGTTTGGAGAGCTCCTTGGTGATTGTGTTGGTCTTGATCTTACCCAACCCACCAATCTAGACGTAAACCAATCAGGAAGGAAAATGTGAATGCATTTGCTCTAAATAAATCGTGTCCAGGTCTTGGAAAAGACCAACGTTAGCACTGCAAAAAGTGAAAACCTGGACAAATCTGGTTTAATGATCTTGTTTTGCCACTTTGACTTAATTTTTTAAAGACCTGCTTGCATTTTACTCAAACTGTTCATCAAAATTCATTCCGCAAAGTCTTCTTCAAGTACTCAACTGTGAGTACACATTTCGGTACTCAAAATACGGTACTCGAACGACAGTGCCTACTGTCCTCCAACGCCCGTTTGTGCACTAAGTCTATGGGAAAGGTTTAGATCAGGGAACAAAGGAAAACACAAAGCCAACTAGAGGTTCGCGTTTGTTGTTACAAACGCAGAGTTGTCGGGTAGACAACCATTTCATTAGACATTGTCCAATTAAGTTATGAATATGTTGATGTCAGAAAAAAAGGACCAAGAACTTCAACATTTCCAGTACCAATTATTTTTTACAAAAATAATGCGTCTTTTAAGGTGTGATAAATTTCAGTAAACAGTTTGAGTACAAGTTATTTCCGGTTTGATGGCGTCATCAGTCAAAACAGGGAAGGGAGGACACTTGTTAATCATTAAGTAAAAATAACGCATGGAAATATGGAAATTAAGTGTATGTAATAATAACAGCTAACTTCCAGTTTGATGACGTCACAGTATTTGGAAGCAAAAGGTCAATATAAAGTGTAACAGATGTCATTTTTTTTTGGGGGGGGGGCAAAAAACAAAGTCATGAGACAGGGATCAAATGATGGATTTAACTTAACACATAAAATGGTCATTGTTGAATTCTCCCTACAGTAACTTCCGGTCTGATGACGTCATGATTATGAAACCTTGCAAATTCATTTGTGGTTGCTCACGGGATATATAGGGGCAATTATATCATAAAAATTTGATTGAGGGTTTTAACATTTTAAAAGATTAAACTGTTTTCCATGTACCGCTGGAGGGCGCCCTTTCGTGGATGACGTCAAAATAATGTTTTTGTGATTGGCATTCCTCACTTAACACTTCCATAATGTATTTGTCTGTACGGAAATGCTTCCGTTTTAGAGTTAGATTCAGTTTCTATTGCACTTCCGGTAACACCGGAAGTAAAGGTCAAGCAGTTTTGTGCCCGGGAATAATAAATGTTGCTCAAGGCACCGTCTACAACCTCACGAAAAAACGAACACGATACCCTATTTAGTTCAAGAGATATAGGTCAAAGTATTTTGTCAAATCGTGCAATCAAATCGCTTGTAATTTGATACCTGATGACGTCATGATGACGTAACAACAGTTATACTATCTTCGTAACATGGTACAAGTTCACAGTAGGTTTTATGATCATACCGTAAACCGTGTGGAAGAAATTGTGCTTTGTTTTGATTTCAGGCTAAAGTCTTCATTTTCAATTCACGTAACTTTGACCTTCCGGTGGACCCGGAAGTAAAGGTCAAGCGAGTTCACGTACACGACAAAAAGTGTTGATCACCTAATGGTCTATCTGATTACAAAGTTGGAACATATATGATCATTTTGTTTAAGAGTTATAGATGAAAGTATTTGGCCCTTTTTTCCTCTAAAATCGCGTGTAATTTGACACCCGATGACGTAATCGTGACGTCAGAGTAATATGCACCACTTCGGATGAGGGTCGATATATATTGAAAGTTACAAGTTCATACCATATACCGTTTAAGAGAAAACCCGCGGAGAAGTATTGTCCGGAAAAAAAAAGAAAGAAAGAAAGAAAGATTAATCGTAACAGATCCAAAGAGTGGTCGGGTTGTGCCCGACCACTCAATAATAAGGCCAACCAAGAACAAAGAGTGTGGTGTTTTCTATTACATATAAAAAAACAACAACTGTGTGGTAGGGTAGGTAAAAATCTGTTTTGGGGGTTTGACATTTCTATAGCCTAAAAATATAGGGTAGGATGATAGTCGGTAAACTTTTACTTTTTTTCTCTATTTTGCATGCATTATTTAACATGTGAATCATTTCTGCACTACTGACCAACTATCTGATTCTACCTTCTCTTTGAGCGTGGTGACTTGTTCCTTGCTGATCTTCCAAGGAAACTTCTCCGTGGTCTCCAGGCTGCTTCCTCATCCAGCATCCAGGGTTTGGACAGCTCCTTGATGATTGTGTTGGTCTTGATCTTACCCAACCCACCAATCTAGACGGAAACCAATCAGGAAAGAATTTGAATGCATTTGCTCTGAATACATTGTGTCCAGGTCTTGGAAAAGACTAACGTTAGTGTGGCAGTGCCAAGTTTTACTTGTGTATTTTTATAGTGTATTAAATAGGAGTAGCTCCCCTTAGAAACAGAAAATCATTTTAGTTGAAGTTTAGATGCCCCCCCCCCTTTGTTGGTAGTGTGACCCCCTGTTTGTTTATTTAAGCCCACATGTTCCCCCTATAAAAGCTGCCACATGGTCAAGTCACACTTCAGTTCAGCCAGCAGACCAGCAGACAATAGACATACATGATATATTTTCCTCCTAACTGGAGTGCCCGTTCTGCTTGAAGTTAGTCTGTTGCCGAGTCATTTGCTTTGGTGAGTTTTCTTTTGTCTATTGTCTACTTTTCATCTATCATGTATAATTATTATTAGAAATATAGTTCAGTTTTCTTTTGAAAGTTTGTTAGCTTTGAATTGACTCTGGTCAGTTTAGATCTTTGAGGAAGCTCCAGTTTGATGTTTTCTTTTGCAACTTTTTATTTCATTTTGTTTCCATTTATTATTTTACTTGAGACACAAGTGTTTTTTACTTCTTTTCCTGATGATTGATTTGTTCCTACTGTAATAAGGAAGCTTTAGTCTTTTCAATGAAACCGGTCTCTTTTGAGTTCTTTTGAGAAAAGTTTCTGTTTATTTTAATTAACCTTGGTTTTACTTAAGGATAGATTTTTTGGCCTTGTTTTATTACTAAGAAAGGTTGAAAGTTCATTTGCATTCTAGATTTTCATGTTTTTTTGTACATTTTCTTAGTATTAGATTTAGAGATTTTCTTAAATTCTTCAACAGGTGCTTCAATTTTCATTGCAATTTCTTTGTTCTCATTTAACTCACATGGCCTGTGTATAGGATGGTGCTACTGTACGTGTTTTATTACTTGCTAATCCTTCACTTTGGGGATTAGTGTCTCCCACTTCCTTTGGATCTTACAGCTTGTTTATTGCTTATTGAATATTCATTAGATCACTTCCTTATATGTTTTCTCTTTTTGTATTTTCTTGTTTACAGATTTTATTCCTGCTTGAGTGTTCTTTGAAAGATCCACTATTCACACTGTGTTGGATTTTGGTTTAAGTCTTTGGATTTTAGGTTTTATTCTTTGCTTTTAGTTTTTTTTTTTTTGGAAAATAAATTCTTTTTGGTCCTTTTTTTGTTAGAAATCTAGAATTGGTCTCTGGTCTCTACCTTCAATTTCCTCGCGACAGTTCCCTTCAAAGATCCCGAGTTTAGTTTAGTTTTGTTAGTTAATCCCCATAGATTCTTAGTTTGTGCGAGTTCCCCCAAGTGTGTCATTTTTCACGGTTACATTAGCGCTGCAAAAAGCGAAAAACCTGGACAAATCTGGTTTAATGATCTTGTTATACATTTTGCCACTTTGACTCAATTCTTTAAAGACCTGCTTGCATTTTACTCAAACTGTTCATCAAAATTCATTCCGCAAAGTCTTCTTCAAGTACTCAACTGTGAGTACACATTTCGGTACTCAAAATACGGTACTCGAACGACAGTGCCTATTGTCCTCCAATGCCGGTTTGTGCACTAAGTCTATGGGAAAGGTTTAGATCAGGGAACAAAGGAAAACACAAAGCCAATTAATCCTCGGAAGCAAAGCAGAAAACGACAGTGTGCGCCTTATGGTAAGTGTGTACAGTGTTCGTATATTTTAAATGCAATTTTTGTTTTTCTTTTAATGCAAACAAATATTATACGCATTATACAGTATGTCCAAAAGAAATGTCCGTCTGACCATATTTGAAATAACTAAAAAACCATGAAGTCCAATTTGAAAAAGTTTGATGTGCAGATACTCCCTATCTTAGCCTCAACCCCGATGAGTTTCATTTAATTTCAGTCACGCATCACTGCACACTTGTCAATTGATCACAACAACATTTTGGGACACTGTGACCAAGTTCCTTGCCTTAATCAATTTCAGTGCTGTGTTAAGTAAGCTGTGTAAAATCCTGCATGTTGTGAAAAGGGCTGCAATTGGGATTGGAATCATTTGCCTGGCTATCAGTCATCATGGCAAGACCTCAGTTTAATGCTCAAGGGCAAATGATTTCAATCCCAAACCACATCAGACTTTTTTTCACAGACACTTTTTTGGGACATACTCTATGACAATTAATAATGATAAATTTAGTGTCAGGTTAACAATAACACTTTGGAAGTCTGATGGTTTATTTTTGTTTTAGTTATGATATTTTAGTAATGTAAGATGATTTGATATGATGGAGTTGAGATAATCTGTCGCCTACCTTTTGCTTGCTTCTTCTTTTTGTAGTCAAAGTCAAGACGTCGCCCCTGTAACTTCTTCCGATGGTGCTGAAAAAAACAAACATTGGGGAGACAAATAAACTTATTGTTTGACAAGAGACATTTGCACATTGCTGTAAGGCACCTTATATAAATTATGGGTCAAAGTGTGACAATTTTCGAGTTCCTGTTATCTCTGAGCATTGTCATTTGCTGTTCAAGTATCATTAAGAATGACTTCAACAATTTGTTGGGTAGGTTGTCTGCTTCACATAATCACTCTTGGTGGACGACTGCATTAACCCTAACCTTCCCAAATCCTCCAAAATCCTCTTTGCAAAATGGAGGATTTTGCAGGATTGAGGCTGTTTAATTGGCAAAAATGTGAGGCTGATTTTGCAGGATGCAGTGTGTCAAGGTCTTGGGCCGGGCCTTGTGTTTGTTTATGCTCAGCTGTGCATAAATTATACTTGAAGTCCTCCGCACTGCTCCAGGATGTCACTGGCTCTGCCTCAACATATTGACAGTGATTGCTGGAGGATTTTGTAGGATTGAGGCAGTGATCATTCTTCCACGGATCACATTCAAGAAATAATGGAGGATTTTGCAGGATTGAGGCTGCATGCAATTTTGACATGGAGGCAGTTGGAGGATTTTGCAGCATCATCGCAAAAATGCCCAGGGAGTTAGGGTTAAGAATGACTTTAAACAATTTTGTATTCGTTGTGTAGGTAGTTTGCTATTCATAATCACTCTTGGAGGACGACTGCATTAAGGAGTGCATCAGAATTATAAAATCACAGATGTCAGATGTAACAGGGACAGGAAAAAAGTGGACCCCAAATTTATCGAATGACCCAAAGTACACAGGCATAAGTTACAACCCAAATCAACCAGTAATCGATCACTTGTCTTCTATCAATTTTTTTCCAGATTGGCCACAATTTGTGCTTGAATTTCCCCGCAGGTGGCTGTGCAACACAGTCCTGCTTCTATCAAAATCAACCAAATTCTGTCAGATTCTGTAAGATGGAACTCACGTTGATCTCTTTCAGATCTTTGTTCTTGAGATGATCCAGGGGATCCAGGAAGTTCTGTCTGACGTTCAGATCGAAGGCGCCCTTGACTTCAGAAAGTTGCCTCAGTGATTCTCCCATCTCGACCATCGCCGTACCTGCATCCAAAAAATAACCAAAACAATTTTTTTTTTATTGATACCTATAAAAAAAAAAAATTTCATTGTTCTGTTGTTTCCACCAAAACTAAACAGCTGTGCTAAGTATACCCTGGGAGCTGAGATTGTCTATGAAATGCATGGTCTATGAAATGCATTATTAGACAGAGTTAAAAAAAAAATGGTTTCCCGTCTACTTTTTTTTTCCTCCACCATGAGGTGAGGTATATGTTTTCATCGGCCTTGGTTTGTCTGTGAACAGGATAACTCAGGATAAATGCGGAGGCACTAGGCTCACGTGAATCGCGCACTCGGACTCCTTCGACTAAAACATTTGCGGGCCTCGTCTTTAAGAACGTGTGCACGTAGTCGTGGCGCGACCTCAAAAATGGCTACTAATTTTGTTCGCCGGATTACGCTATATGAGAATGTAATTTCCAGTAACCCTGGTTAACCCTTCTGTTAGTGAGCATAAGCCATGTCTGAATGACATGGCTACGACTAACACTAGCCCACATGGGAAGTGGCTTCATCTGCTTCCATAGGCGCAACTAATGTATTAGCCGTAGCCACTTCATTCTGACGTGGCTTTACGCTTTTCCATTTTCCCTAATTTCTGCTTGAATTTCCCCGAACGTGGCTGTGCAACACAGTCCTGATTCTATCAGAATCAACCAGATAATGGGTGATGTTAGATTTTGTAAGATGGAACTCACGTTGATCTCCTTCAGATCTTTGTTCTTGAGATGATCCAGGGGATCCAGGAAGTTCTGTCTGACGTTCAGATCTAAGGCGCCCTTGACTTCAGAAAGTTGCCTCAGTGATTCTTCCATCTCGACCATCGCTGTACCTGTATCCAAACAAAAACAAAAACATAACAAAATCCATCTTTTTATAATACCTATAAGAGGAAAGATTTTATTGTCCTGTTGTTTCCTTCAAAATGAGACCAGTTGGGCTATGTAAAAAAGTAAGTGTTCTTTCAGCAAAATGAAAACAATTCTCATAGGGATGCATGTGAATTGTTTTCATTTTGCTGAAATGACACATACATTTCTTTGTGATCCATGGACAGAACTTTAAAATGGTGTTTGTGTTCAAAATTCCGTAACTTTAAGCAAATGAATGATGTGAATGATTCTTGTGTTAATACAAAGCCCATTGATTGGGCTTTCATATCCTAGATTTGGAAAGTGCTACAGGCAAAACTTTATTCAAAAATTGGTCCTGCCATTTGGGTTTCGTCTTTTTTGACTCACCTGTATATTGCAAATGTATGCATTTATAAATAAAAAAAAAATTAAAGAGTAAAAAGTGGGTGCAAAAAAGGCAGCAGGCAGGTACGAGAAACTGGTTTATTTCTTTACTTGGCCTTGCATATCTGAAGTGCTGGGCACTACATAAATTACACAATACTCATGGTACTATGTTGGTGGATTGGAACACTGATTAGAGCACCTTTTTGAGAGCTTTATGATCAGTCGACCACAGAAGGAAAGAGAATACATCTTGAAGCTTGCTCACCAAACGTTGAATCTTCTCCTAATTCTCTGCCGTTCTTCAGCATGACTTCTCCCAGGAATCCTACGGGTTGTTGAGGCTTGGTTCCTCCCTTGTTCTGACCACGGACTTTGCTCATGGCTCTGGAGACTGTTCAGGAAAGACAATACGATTGATTAGGGTCAGCACACAAATAGAGGATCTATCTCTATTTGGTTTGTTTGAAGTGAATACTTAGACCCGATTCAAACCAGTGTTCTATAGTCACCCCAAACGTAATTATTCCAAAGGTTACAATTAAAGGTAATATACGACATTTGCAAACATCAACAAACAAAACTACCAAATTATTATGAAATACTTTACTTGACTGTAGGTGAATGACAGTCTCAGACATCCTGTGAAATCATGGCACCTGGTGTGCTGTCATTTTTAAGAAAAGTGGAATTTTTGTATTGATTTCAAAAGATGGTTGGCCGACCATCGTAGGAAGAAACTGATTTTTCCAAATAGTGCCCCAATTTACCAAATTTATTTAGTCCACATTTTTTTTGCAAGCGGTTACACATCCGTGAATGGATGCAAGCCAGCTAGTCTGGTTCCCTGAGCTCAGGGAACAACACAAGATCCGGCCCAAGACCTTGACACAGTGCATCCTCATAAATCAGGCACACATTTTTGCCATATAGCCTTAATCCTGCAAAAGCCTACATTTTGCAAATAGGATTTTGGAGGATTTGGGAAGGTTAGCGTCAATGATGTTCCAATTTTGGTTCTTACCTGGATTGGGCTGAAGGTATTCTATTGTCTTGTTCACCAAATCATCCACTGTGTGACCTGCCACGTCAATTTTCTAATGAAAAAAAAATACATTACCCAAAGACAATGAGAAGAATTCAATCAGCATAAATAATCTCAAGCAATATTTACTAATACTAAATGTGTTAAAACGTTTTTCGCTATGGCAGGAGAGATTCATACCCTGGACTCCGTTGCGTGTACACAACAGAGTCCAACCTGGGCTAGGACTAGGGCTAAGTTACACTTACAGCAGACAGGGCTCTGGAGTGCTCTGAAACGTGCAAAACAAAACGGGCAAAGAAAATGTCCTCAGTATTTCACCAACCAAGTTTGGAGACTCATTCAATTTTTAAAGGAGATTTTTGTTCAATATTATGCACATGAGAGGGAAGTCAAGTGATTTCAAAATGGGGCTAAATACTAGACTGGTACATGTCCAACCATATGGTCCAACTATTTGAAAAGACTGACCTCTTCATTCAGTGTCAATACTCTGGTGGCTTGACTACGGAGAAATGTGTAGTAAATTGAGACTAGTTCCCGCTTCATGCCACATGTTTCTTTAATTCTTTTGGCATGGTTGATTGATGCAGTACTGAAGCTGTGTTGGACTGGTTGTTTCAGGTGCCAGTCTATTTTCTTGCTTTGCATGTTTTCAATACCATAAGTTTTGGGACTCTCATACACAGTATTGAGAGTCCCAAATTTTCGGACTACACTACACTTACAGTAGTCCGAGTAACTTGGACCATGCTTGGACCCAACTTATCGTCTTTTTAACATTCAGATTTCACCCTCAAAATGGCCTCCCAATTACTAGATATGCCACCTGAGGTACAAATAGACATCGATGATTAAGATGGTTGTACTGAAGTGAAATTTCCTGCTCAATTCCAAGAGCTCCCCTCACGATCATGAACACGTTAAATTTCCAACTCGTGTTAATGTTTGAACGACGTGATGTAGTCTTTATGCCCAGCGTACATTCAATGGTCCCCATATCCCGAGTGCGATTCTGTTACCGAGCGCGAAGCATCGATTATGATAATGAGTAGACTGGATCTCGCTTATGAACACAAGTGGATTTCAAATGGTATAAGACAATCGGGAACTAGCTTGAACTGGTTTCCGCCCATAAAAGCTGTCCTAGTTCCCGACTCTCTATTAGGCCAAAAAAAAAAGAATATGACTCTGCCGTTTTCTTCATATATCATCTCAATGAAGGACAGTCATTGCAAAAATTATGCTAAGACATGAATCTAGGACTAAGAAACATTCCCAATTTCAATGTTAGGAAATACTTCAATTTTCTTGACTCACCATAGACTTTGTACCGCTGAAGTGGCGTCAGGTTGCAACATTCTTTCCATGTCTGCTGCCCATTGGAGATCAACCTGCTATCTGTACTGCCATCAATTGCATCATATGCTGCATTCCTCTGACTCTGTGTCTTGCATCACTGGCTGCTCATGGCATGCACGTCATCAATCTCTATTAAAAACCGTAGGATACAGACAGAAAGGCACTTGTATTACATAAATAAAGCCATAGTGAGTTGCTATTTGCTGGACGTGTACTAAAGGAACCTAGCCCGAAAATTAGGGACTGTCCTAGCCCCATAAATGTGGCCTATTTACTGGACTGCCTCCGTAAACATAGGCCACACATCCACATGTACAAAAACGTGTCGACTTTGCCAAATTTAGATTTTCACATTTAGGCTTAGTTTGTAGGGTTTTTTTGCTTTTAGAAGCATACTCACCCTCTTTATAGGTAGCTTGAGTAACTCCAGCTGACATGCTCCATATTCATTCACATGTCACATCTGAATGAATATGGAGCATGTCAGCTGGAGTTACTCAAGCTACTTTATAGGCTAGTCAGAAAGTGCTGCCTTTTTCAGATGTCTAATTTTTGTGAAATTTCATGTTGAAATTTTGATACGCAAACGTGTAAAAATGAATCTAGAAATTTCACGAAATATATAGATCTGAAAAAGGCAGCACTTCCTGATTAGCATAAAGCAAAACAAACCTACAAAGTAAGCCTAAATGTGAAAATCAAAATTTTGCAAAGTCACGACACGTTTTAGTACATGTGGATGTGTGGCCTATGTTTACGGAGGCAGTCCAGTAAATAGGCCACATTTATGGGGCTAGGACTGTCCATGCAAACTCAAGTCAAAGTCATACTGACATTTTTTCCGCCAGCCTAGCGCCAGCATACTAATGTAAGTCAGAATGAGACAAAACTATACGTTCACGTTAGTGTCTTACTATGCTGATCTTGAATAACTGCTGCTAAAGAATCTTGTATTTTTTTCTGAAATTTACCTTTCAAAACGAGTTTACTGTAGTTAAACGTGGATCACGTTGATATTTTCCCATTTGGTAAACTGGCGCCATCTGTCATTACTGCGCCCTCTATTGATTCAATAATTAGCATCTTCTATTGATAAGATGAGTGGCGCCCTCTAGTGATCTTTCCCGTTTGGGGCAAACAAGTGGGGCGAGTTGGTAAGGGGCGAGTTAGTAACTGTATTGTCAGTAGAGGGCGCTGTTATGTTTTTCAATAGAGGGCGTTATTTATTGGAACACAAAATAGCTGTTTATGTATATCAATAGAGGGAGCTGTTCAAATTTTCAACAGAGGGCGCTATATCGGACAAGTATAATGGCATAACCGGAATTAAGTGATCAGTTTAGAGTTACTTGCCCGTGCTATTTTTTTTAGTTTTCACAATGAAAAATACATTTTGTTTTCACTTTTTTTTCTAGAATTACAAAAGCTTTGCACTTTGTAGTGAGACATCTATCGAAACGATCCGCCCACGTTTAATTATAGAATGTTGACCTTACCAAAATTTCGAACTATTTAAAGGGAAGATACAACATTTGCAAACATCAAAAAAACAAAATGATCAAACTATCACGAAATACCTTACTGAATTGTTAGGGACTGAAAGTCTTAAGCATCCTTTGAAATTGTGGCTCCTGGTGTGCTGACATTTTCAAGAAAAACAGTATGTTTCCAACGCTGGTCGGCCGACCAGCGTTGGAGAAAACTGGCTTAAAAAAAAAAACTATTCCTAATTTTTTATATTTAGTTATTCTGACTTTTCTTCGCAATTGATAACACAGCTGTGAAGGGGTACAAGCCAGTGCTAGACTGATTCCCTGACCTTACAATTCCCCAATGTGTATTAATTGCTCCATTTCATCTTAAGTGGGGTCAGGAACCAGACTACAAGAACATGGTTGGTTTTCTTGGTTTTTCCAGCATCTACAAGCCCAAAACTTGAAACAAGTCAGTTTAACAATATTTTCTATAACACACTTTTCCTCCAAATCCATTTATTTCTGAAAATTGCAGCAAAAGCAAATGTTGTACAATTCCCTTTAAGAACCCAATCAATTCCGCGAATCTAAAATAGAAAGCTTATAATTTTTTCTCTGACGGCGTGAAACGTCCGACAGCGAAATAAAAAATCAAGAGGGTACATTAATTGTTTAAACGAGTATAACAAACAATGCGGGTAGAGCTTCTTTAAAAGCCTGAACTTTTCACTGAAAAGAAACAATGTAGTGTGCATGTGACTGTCGCAAAAAAATGACACCTTATTTTTAAAGGTCAATTACAATGTTAACAATATTTGGATTGATATGATGAAAGGTGATTTTAAGTGTAATGCTATAGTCTCATAAACAAACCATATCCTTCATGTGCAATCATAGATGTACTGTTCTGGACAAGCTATTCTAAAAATTAAGTGATGCATCGAATTGACTTGTGGCCAGATGGCTGGTCATGACAAATAGACAAACAAGACAGAAGATTGAGACAAAATATTGTTTTGCTCGCCCTCAACATTGTCTTGCGTCGCAACACGGAGAAAAACTTTGTGATGGGCTGCAGTTGCAGTCCCAACAGAACAATTGCCTCACTTTTGCACAGAAATGATAGTCAAGCTGGACACTCTATCTCAAAAAATTAAGTGATGCATCGAATTGAATTGTGGCCAGATGACTGGTCATGACAAATAGACAAACAAGACAGAATATTGAGATAAAATATTGTTTTTCTCCCCATCGGCATTGTCCTCCGTCAACACGGAGAAAAACTTTGCTATAGGCTGCAGTCACAGTCCAAACAGAACATTTGCCTCACTTTTGCACAGAAATGATAGTCAAGCTGGACACGCTATCACAAAAATTAAGTGATGTATCGAATTGTATTGTGGCCAGATAATTGGTCATGAAAAGCAGACAAACAAGACAGAAGATTGAGACAAAATATTGTTTTGCTCTCCCTCAACAGGTTTGGTGTCTCAACACGAAG